TTAACGATTATAATATTATATTGTACCGACTTTAAAAATAGTTTGATTACCAAATTAACGAATGTTTAATCATGTATGAATTAAAAGTACGACAGAGCATATTCAGTAGACCTTATAGTTTTTGTTATTTTTTTATTTACAGACAAATGGCGAAATGTATACCAAAACGTCAATGATTTCAATAAGATACGGACTGCAACGACACTTTCAAAACACACACGATATAGACATTGTAAAAGACAACAGTTTTGCTGCAGCTAACGAAATCTTCAAAGCTATACTGATTAAGCTGAAAGCTATTGGAAAAGGTATTGTAACACACAAAACGGCAATCCCAAATGAAGAAATGGACAAACTGTACACTTCGCCTGTCCTCTCGACATCTTCCCCAGTAACTCTGCAAAATAAAGTGTTCATAGATGTAATGCTGCACTTTTGTAGCCGTGGACGAGAAAACTTAAGAGACATGATGAAAACAGACTTTGTAATTAGCACAGATGAATATGGCGATCGTTTTGTCAAAATGCAAGAGAAAATATCAAAAAATCATAGAGAAACCTTACAAGAAGATGAGACCAGTAGAGGGGGTAGAATGTATGCAACAAACACATCACTTTGCCCCGTGGCAAGCATGGAGAAATATCTATCATCCCTTAATCCAGACTGTCCCAATTTTTGGCAGAGAGCAAAAGCAATTGTCAAAGAAGACGATAAAACCGATATATGGTTTGATAATGCTCCTCTCGGTAAAAACAAACTGGGAGATAAGATGAAATCATTGTCTGTTGAAGCTGGACTATCCAAGATTTATACCAATCACTGCCTCAGGGCAACGAGTGTGACTACACTAGATAGGCAAGGTTTTGAGGCCAGACATATAATTGGGATATCTGGACATAAGTCAGAGACTAGCCTTAAACACTATTGTCGGGTAGAAAGTGAGAAAAAAAGAGAAATGAGTCATGCTATTACAACATTCACATCAACAGAAATCGAATCTCAATATCCAGATGATGGGCCATTTAATTATTCCACAACGCCAGCAACGTCGCCGAATATAATTCAACCTTTAGAGCTGTCATCAGAAAACATAACAAATACTGTTAACACCAAAGACTCCGTGGTAAAAACTTATTATCACAAATGAACTTTTATTGTTGACCGAAGTATTAAAATGGCTTTAAGTTCTTAAAACATTATTATAAATCTGGTATAAATAGGACCTATTACTAAACTATAGGAATTTCCATGCGTTTATTGTAAAAGGTAAGCAGTTCTATGTGACAGCACTAATTAATCAAATTTTGATAAAACTGTAAACAGAAAGGGGGAGTTAGGATAAAACACATATGGACTAGTGATTTCATGACCTTATAACCAGTCAATATTTGTATAATGTAGACAGTGGCAAGTCAATTCATATTAATTTATTTGCGGAGAATAAAAAACAAACAAAACTTACCAGCTTTTGGTGTAATGTTACAGTTCCACGTAACACACATTGGCATTTTTACATTAGATACAGGTTAAACTTGAAAACTTCAGACTTAGCCACTTTATAACTTCCAGTGACTTCACGTGAAACTTGAGTTCCCTTGTTGAAAGAAGTAAAATATTTAACAAATGCTTAGAGACTAGTGAAATATCTATAGGAAATAAACAAATGCTAAAGTTAGTGAGTTGAATCAGTAATGAATTAAATAACATGGACCCAAGAAATTTAGTTATGTGTGGTATTAAGCTTCTTAATTTACAATATTAAGAAAGAAAAACCACAAGCGCATAGTTAATGTCATGCTAGCCGTGAAATGAGAAAGAAGTAGGAGTTGTTTTCTCGTTCTTTCTCGCGTCTTTTTTTGGGGTTCACCGACCGTTCTATACATAAGTATTAGTGAAATGCTGGAGAATATGGGTGCGATTAAATTGTTCAATCGTGTCACAAGGTAGCGCTTGTGATTTTAAGAATCTGGGTCCTGCCTCTTGTTTTGTAACTTTTTGGGAACTGTTGTCGCATTAGGTTTATATCGTTTGAATTAATCCTGTAATTTATAACTTTTGTTAACTGTCTGTTTCTATCTTCTTTTTTTTTTGTCTTGCGCGATGTTTTACCACATCATGTATCCGCTATTAAAGTTATTTTAATTGCTTTTCGACACGTGCAAGTCAAGCAATTTTGCAGCTGTGAATAAAATCCAAAAACAAGATTTGAAACGTTTCTCAAACTTTTCATGCGTTGCTATATCGTCTTAGTAATGATAAATGAATGACGGTTGATAGTATAAGGAAATATATTTAGGAATTACAACTATATTGGGTAATGTGTAAAGTGCTGTAGCTTCTCGTGTTCATTTTAAACACAATAATTCCATTATATATTTGTGTGTTCAGTATTTTTTATTTATTTTTTTGGCAGATGTTCTCTGAAAGACAACCAACGTCCTTCAACTTGAAGTTTACCAAGAAAACCATTTTACTGATTTTCGTAAGAACCAGGAGAAAAAACATAAAATAATTCGACAAATAAATCTTGGCCCAGCATTCGAGATCTGGAACGAAGAAAGAGAGGCAACAAATCTAACCCATCCACAATTTGCATGCATTCTCTTGAAATGTTGGCAAGTATATATTATTATTATTAATGTCCTGGCTTGGCCAGGTGGTTAGGGCGCTCGACTCGCAATCTGCGGGTCGCAGGTTCGAATCCCCGTCACACCAAACATGCTCGCCCTTTCAGCCCGTGAGGGTGTTATAATGTGACGGTCAATCCCACTATTCATTGGTAAAAGAGTAACCCAAGAGTTGGCGGTGGGTGGTGATAACTAGCTGCCTTCCCTCTAGTCTTATACTGCTAAATTAGGGATGGCTGTCGCATATTGCCCTCGTGTAGCTTTGCGTGAAATTTATTACATACCAAGTTAATTTTTAGTTATTCAACTAACTTAAACCTCCATTATGTGGAGGGGGTGGGGGTTCTGGCTTTATATATCAAAACACAATAAGATTATGCAAAGCCAAGTTTGTGCAGGACTTCGCTTTGCACACATCACCTCAATCCACTGCAATTAGAGCACAAAGGGCATGGCAGCCATTAGCCATTATCCCATTTGCCGACAAAAAATACAACTTTTTGTCTCATAATGTTATAGATTATCTGTCTTGCAATAAAACGGACAACAGGGAGAGCTTATGTGCATGCGAGAAACCGTTTTATTAGATGAAGACATTTAGTAACAATGCATTGGGGGAGCACAGCTATTTGCTGGTCAATTGTGTATACTCCAGATGAAGCAAGAGGGACTGGAAGATTCATAGGGTGGATATTTTCTACAGGCAGTATATTGTGTGCCAGTAGAAATGTCACTTTACCAGAGCAATAGTTTTAACAATTCTACTTCTAACTGAACTTCTGATCAATCAGAAGCCAGGTTACCAAACATTTTCAAACCTTACATTTTATAAAAAATATTAAATTATTGATCTTTCAGATAATCTTGTTTCTTCAAATAGCTAGAAGTTGTATGTGTTTAATCGATTTTTAGAAGTACCGTGTTATTTTCTTCATTTAGGAAGGTTATATTCTACTCAGTGACCTCAAAAGCTACCCCAAAGTATTCCAGATCCAAGGAGCTGGTCTACATGCTGTCAAAATAGAGCCAATAGATGAAGATCTTATTTTAGAAGAACCGTCTGACGTCCAGGCCATGTTAAATGCCATCAGTGGGCTAGTTATCGAACTTCAAGAGACCATTAGTGCCTCCAATCACCACCATCTCGCTGCCAGGCGTACCACAAATATAAGAGACATCTTTGCAACCATCCCAGAGCCCAACTTCCCTGCTGCACAGACTGTGTAGACATAACCTCTGGTAACCACCGCTTCTCAACCAAAGACGAGGGTTAAAAACTGAAGAAAACAATAATCCCTTCCATTGTCCCTTGGAAATTGTAATAAGACTTGCAATCATCAAAATGATCTGTGGGCATGCATCTGGCAGGACAATTACACGCTGAAGCCTAAAGACATTACCAGGATTAAAGTGCAAAAACACACCACAGAAATACTAGTCCAGTATTATACTACCAAGGGTATATTGAACAATCTTGAACAATAAACTGTAGCAGCCATGGATTATCCGACTATCCAGCAATATGTTGAGATATAACTTCCATAGAATATCTCTGGAACCTTTAGTTAATGTAAAAGCTTCTACCTTCTTCACTAGTTCCTCAGTTCATGAAGAACTGTTAACTTCATCTGCCAAATGAAAGCTACACTTGGAGTTTCTGACAATGGCACCGACTTTGGTTAAAGCCTATTACATACTTGAACAAATGATGGCTCTTAAACATCATTGTCAGGCTCAGGTAACAACCTGGGCCAGCAAGAAATAAATAAAAAAGTATTGTGGCAAAGATGACTCCTTACAGGCAGTCCAAGAGCTTCACTGGGTCCAAGTGGAACTGACTAAAACCAAGAAAGACATGGTAAAAGTGAAGGAGATCCTCCATTAGACCACACCTGCACACTTTTAAGTTACACCACCACTTTACTGTTGAATCTGTAACCTCATACTCTGGATGAGTGCATAAATGTATAGTAACTTTATTATTTCATTTTATTGTAAATTTTATTTTTCACATTTAAATCTTATTTTTGCTTGTTTTGTATTTTTGTATATAATGTTTATAGGTTCTGTTCATGTAATGAAACAAGAATTAAACCCAACTTTGGCAGCTATACACACTTATCTGTAAGCCAAATTAAAGAATAAATTCTTATAAATTTTTAATTGTGGTTATAATTCTTGTTTCATTCCTTTTTATAGCAGGATCCCTACTTCATTTTAAGATTCATAATGTTTTAACACGCTTATTTGTATACTTTTTAAGTTATACTTGTATAGTGTACATACTTTACCTTTAGATACTATTGTGTGTCTATCCATCGATATGTAGCGCCATCCGGTGGGTTGAAAATATATTTAAGTACGTGCATGATATGCATATATATATATGGATTTTTATCGGATTATCAAAAGCAGATACCCACAGACCAGTCAAGTAAGCTGGAGAAATCTTGTAGCAATAGTCCGAGCCATTTAGGCGCTAGCCCAGCTGACGTGCTCAGGTAGGTAGGTAGTAGACAAAAAAGTTGCTGTTTGATCATTTTTTTAATTGTTATACCAGAAATCTTAGCGACATTTTTAGCGTATTATTAGTATAATATATCGTAACCAATACTTTGAATGGTCGATATTTTTCTTAGGAATTCGATAGGGTGGTTTTTTCGGTGCATGTATTATTTGGAAACCTTGTCGATCCCTACTATTAAGTACTACTATACTTAAAATATAGTCTCTTGTTTATGATTATGTATTTTCCTCCATTTATTTCGCATTATATATAATTATTTAAACTGTTATTACTGATAAGCTCTTTCTTGTATGCATATATGTAAAGATATTTTGTATTATGTTTTATACTCCTTAATATACGAATAAACGTTAAGTGAGTGTGTATAATTACTGGAGTGTTTTTATATGTATTCTGATTCTATTACCTCTGTGTTATTTTATATTGGGACGAACGTTTATTATATAATGTATTTAATAATAATGTTTTTGTTTGTTTGTAATTAAGCACAAAGCTACACAATGGGCTATCTGTACTCTGTCCATCACAGGTATAGAAACCCGGTTTCTAGCGTTGTAAGTCCGAATACATTCCACCGTGCCACCGTGGGGCTTATAATAATGTATTTAACAATGTGAGATGAAAATGCTTTAGTCTTGTAGATGTAGTGTAACTATAACCATGTTGAATCGTTTTTTTTCCCTCTGTTTTATATAGTACGATTGTACTCCAGTGGGTCAGCTGTAAGTTTACGGACTTGCAACACTAAAATCTGGGGTGCGGTTCCGCATGGTGGACAGAACACAGATAGTCCATTGTGTATATTTCGCTAGAACAGCAACAACAACAACAGATTCCTTTGTTCAACTGCGTATGGGTTCCATCCTATTACTCTCCCGTGAAATCATAAATTACTAGACACAGTATGGTCAGGTGGTTAGGACCCTTGACTCGCAATTTCTGGGTCGCGAATTCGAATCCCCGTCACCGAACATGCTCGAACTATAAGCCGTGGGGGCGTTATAATTTTATGGTTAATTCCACTATTTGTTGGTAGAAGAGTACCCCAAGAGTTGGCAGTGACTAGCTGCATTCCCTCTAGTCTTTCACTACTAAATTATGGGCAGCTAGCGCAGATAGCCCTTGTGTGGGATGGGCAGAAAAATAAATTCTAAACAAATTTATAAATCATGTGGAGTTGTGCAAAAATGTAAGTTTAAACATTTTAAATTTTGTTTTTGCGAATTGTCTTAAATGAATGTTACAAGTTACAAAATATAAGCTCTAAAATATGTTTGAGCAAACTTGTTGAAATAAAGTTAAACACATCATGTTTCTTAAATTATGAGATTTGATATGCATGTTTGTATTGCCCTGATAGGCCAGTGGTAAGTCTCCGAACTTACAGTGCTAAAATCCAGTGTTCGATTCCTCGTGGTGGACAGATCACATGTAGCCCATTCTTTAGCTTTACGCTAAAACATCATTGTAATTGTCGTTGCACGTCTGTTCTCCATACCTAACAGGATTTATAAGGCTGAATACAAACTTGATGAGTAGGGCTTAATCAAAACTTGGTTGCTTATGATTTACATGGGAAGGCATTATCGAGCATGTGTCCTGGTGATCTTGATTAGACACTCATCAACGTTTATCAACTGGTTGCTCAGTGAACAAATGCAACTCCACATAAATCTCAGGAACATCTCAACTCAGTCAGAGGCAATTTCTATAACAGCATAGGTAAAAGTGGTCAAGTGAAACTGTATGCTGGAATAGAAGAAGAAAGCAACAGCAATTGCAGGTTTACTTTAAGCAAGGCAATCCCCAGGATCTGTGATGGCCTCCAGGGCTTGGAAGAATCTCATCAATTACCAATTCTACTGTAGATTCATGGTGCTGTCACTATGTTCCATATAGGCCCACAAGTCTTGTTGCTATGGCTGTTATACTGATGTTACTGATTTACACAATTTACTGTGGGATTAACACAATCCCACAGCAAATGTCATCGATGTTTTTTTTTTCCAGATGGCATTCTGGAAATGGAATCAACTGACATGATAGCCATTATCAATGGAGTTGTCCATATCTTCTTTAGGACTGTCAATTCATCCAAACACAGAAATCATTGTTTAAAATACATGATTAGCAAGTAGTAACTCATTGACAAGAAAATGTTTATATTTGGAAAGTCTAATGCTGAAACAGGTAAGTGAAGATGACGTTTTAACATACTAATGCGAATCTTCATCAGGTTCTATGACTGTTTCAGTGTATTATGTATAAGAAAAGGGAATCATGACTGAGATATGTGTTCCTACTCGGTTCTTGGTGAAAGTGGTTCATAAGTACATGTTGAGATTTGTTGATTGGCTGGTTTTGAGTAGTTGAACCCACAAATTGCTCATTTCTAAACCTGGATCTCTGTTTAAAACAGTTTTCTGTTATTCTTATGGAAATCTTTATTAGTTTTTCTT